TGTGCTCCTCTAGCAGAAGTGTATGAGAGCTGATATGAAGCAGATGGCCCATGATGCTAATTAGACAGCATCCTGCCATACCTATAATGACACATAAGAGCACTGTACAGTGCACATGCTGCCAGTTACTCTGTTAACAAAGCCATAGGAGACAGGACTCTAGACCTTCAGTTTTTTTTTTCTCCATAAGTTACATAAAACAGCACTGTGGGGAGAAATAATGATATATGTCCCTTTACATCTCAAATGAACACCAGAGCTAATATGTTTTTAATCACTTGATAGTGCTTCTTTTGTGCCCTTCAGCACAGTCATTTACTCACACATTTGCATAATGAGAAGAAGAACACGCTGATGTTTTCCTTCAAACATCTGTCAGAAATGGAGATTTGTTGGAATATAAATTCTATATTTTTGTCACTTTGAGCTTGAATCAGTCAGATTTTTAAGATAGCTGAATGAGATGGGACCTTATAATAACCTCTTTGTAAAACAGAGGATTAAGCAGAGAAGTCATGTCCTTGGCAGCGCGCAAAACAAATGACGGGTCAATGGAAAAAGGTGAGTCACACAGTCTGTTTTTAACCTGAGCTGTGTAAAATTTAACAATACAGGTCCTATAAAGGTGCTGCTATTTTCTGACCTATGTTATAATGTTTCCTCATCAAAACCATACCTGATTTGTGTTTTGTTTCATTCACACATGTTTAACACACAAACCTGCAAATTTAAGCTAAGGAATTTTCAATCTCTAGTAAACAAAAGGTAAAGCTGTTAACATCACAAGCTGGCATTTTGAGCCAAAAGGATTACTCTAACATGTCTGAATGAACCAAAAAAACAATTGCAGGTATGTTTTTGATGAGGTTAGAGCATTATAACATAGCTTAAAGCTCACGAGAATCCATTTAAAAAGACAGCATCAGGGGAAAAACTGGCAGCAGAATTGATAAATAATTTTGAAGTGTCTGAGAAGCACAAGCCTGGGAAATATGGATTTGATTCCCATAATATGTATCTCCATTAAAAGTGTCTAATTCATCTAACGGCATACAACAAGAAATACATACAACATACATACTTGAAAAAAATATATTTGAATTGAGTTATGCCTAAAACGTCACTTAAATCTGATAATTATATGATTAGTGATTATGACAGGCAAAACTAACCCTCTTTTGCGGTGGAAATCACACTCACATGCACACAACAGATGAATCAAAGCATATTGATGGACAGCTTTGAATATCCCCCCATTATAACAGTCAAATCCCAAGATAGGATTGCAAATAGGAAACGGATAGGTATCTCACTGCCAGCCTGCTCCATGATAAATCGGTAAACATAAACTGAAAGCAGCCAATTGCTCTGGATAGCATCTCAAATCACACAAGGTTTGAGAGGTTAAACCATATCAAAATGAGCTGTCAGCACTCATATGAAAGACTGGGTTGTGGAAGTGAAAAAAGGGTAAAAAGTAGAAGCTGCACCTCACAAATATATTGCTATCAAATCTAAATCATCATCGCTTGAGCTGATGAACAAAATATACTGGATTTTTTAAGAAATATTTGATTTTACTTATAATTTAGTCCTATACACACATTCCTGTGATAATTTATCTGTTTATAGTTCACCCAGTCAACGCACCTAGAGTTGTTTACAACGTGCACTCTGAACTGAATCCTACTTTCGAAACATCACAATTCTAATCACAGTCTCAAAATGAAAATAAAAAAGTAAATAAAAATCGTGCAGCCCTAGTAAATCACGGAGATTCATGCAGTTTAAGAAAAACTAAGGTAGCGCAATCTCAGCTTGGTTCCGTGTCCCGTCACCTTGGTGCATAATTTATCTGGTTGAGCCAATACTAAAGCCATAAAGCAGACAAGAATTCATTAGGCTCAATCAAACTGCAGGAAACCAGAAGACACAGCAGACAACAGGCACTGCCCTCTGAGAGTCCTCTGTGCTTTAAGTGTTACAGGAATAATAATTTAAGACTTGACCACTACATGCTCCAAAATGTGTTACATAATGTGCTAAGTGTGCTTTAAAATGATCCCTGTGGTGAATTTGTTCTGCCTATGGTGAAAATGGAAGCTCTGTTCAAGAGGATTTGTAATGTGTATATACTTTTTAAAATATGCACAATCAATGTATTTTAAAGGTGCACATGTAATTTTCTGGTGGAGGGCACACTACCGGCTTGTCTCTATAGAGATGTGCTTTTCCTGATTGTTTTGTATCTATGTTGCATTAAGATTGTTTCTATTGCTCAAAAATACCTAGAAACCCACAAGACAGAGAAGTTTAAAGCCATATTGTGGACCATTCATGGCAAAGCAATAATATCTGTATAGCCTTTAAGACTCTTACATCAGCAATGAAACATCTAATACATGCAGTTCACTGTCTACATGTTCTTCAGTTAAAGACATCCTTTAATTATTTACTGTCTGTATTGACTTGTTAACTGTCTTGAAATATATATGCATTTAATAAACCACAGACCCACACGTTGTTCTGAATAGAAAACCCAATGGCTTCTTCTTCTACATCATCTTGTTAAATAAGGGCCGGGCCAAACCAACCAACCAAAACCAAATAGTTTTGCTTATTTTGGAGTAATAAAATTTGTTCTGTAGGTAATGGTTTGTTTGGGAAGTATCTTCCATATAAATAAAGAGGCCACTACAGTCCAAATAGTCTCTAATAAAATGACTAAATAACCCACAGTGAGTAACAGTCTGATGTAATCTAAATAAGCCTACATCTATGTCCTTGTTTGTTCCCCAAAAGTGACACTGTTGTGGAAGCTGCTCTGATGAAATGTACAGCATTTGGCTCAGGTGCTTCTGCTGCTGGGCTCATGTGTAAGAATGGATGTGCTGACTATGAAAAGAAGAAGAGAGAAAGAGAAGAGGAGAGAGAGCAAGAGAGAGAAAGAGGGAGAAAGAGGGAGTCAGGGAGAGAGATGGGAGCAGTGAGAAAGAGAGAGAGAGCAAGAGAGAGAGAGAAAGAAAGAAAGAAGGGGGAGAGAGAGATAAAGAGAAGGGGGTGGGGGGGGTGGGGGGGCTAGAGATGCTGTAGCAGTGCATCAGTGAGGTGAGAGTATACTTCACAGTTTGCACACGAGGAAGCTTAGAGAACATGGGCATTTTCAGGTGAACGTACTTTGAAGCCAGATAAAAATGTCATTTTAAATTGGTGAAAAGATTATTATAGTTAGAGTGTACTGGTCAGCCCATAGTCCCATTTGAACAAACCACTGGGTCATTAATGTTGCTGACCCACATGAAACACTGATTGTCCTGTGAATCCGCATATAGCCTGTTAAAATAACTATCCACTGTAAAGGTTGTGGAAAAATAATTCAAGTTTCAGTAAAAATGTGAAAGAATATTAGCTTCTAGAATTTGTTACTGCAGAAAGAAGCCAATCTGTGCAGCATGAGAGCAATGAAACAAAAGAGTTGACAGAGGTGAAAGGAGGTAAACGACTGCAGACACAAAGCATCGTGAAAATGCAGACAACCAGCCAGGACACTCATTCAGAACATTCAGAAAGCTGCACACTGCAATTTTAACCCACAAGCCTTAACGCAGCTCATGGGGCTATTAACGATGGCCTTTCAGCAATGAACAGATTTACAACTTGTTTGTGTCGCTGGAAATAGGTGAGGAAGAATGATAGGTTTCGGTTAATATGTTCAAGTGCATACCCCGCTATTAAGAAGAGAACAAAAATGCAAGCCATTTATCACACCAACGCTATGCTGAATATCAAAACGTAATGCAGCATTAGTGTTTGTCTCGGCCAGTGTCAGTAGAGTGCTTACCCTCTGCAGCCAAAGCACACTGGACAAGAAATGAAAGCATTCCCGCAGACAGCAGCCAGCTCACGGGCTTCCCCGCTGCTCTGACTCGCCACCTGGTTCTCACACATCTCCTCTCCGCTCCAGCATCCGATCTTCCCAGGGAGCATCCACCGCCACGACCAGCACGGCCACTGGGATGACCTGTCCGCACACCACTCCTCACACCGGGAGCCATCTCCAGCGGATGAATTGCTGAACTTTGGCCCGTAAATAATACATTGGATCAGTCTGGGTGCTTCGAGCAGGAATGGCACACAGCGGTTTCGCGGTCTCGTCGCGTCCACGGCTGGCGCGGTGAGAAGCGGCGCTCAGGATAAAATAAAGAATGCTCCTTTAGCGCTCCTCTCTTCCACTTGATCCACCCATCCGCGCGTGGCGCAGGGCGGCGCACAGCACACTTTCTCAAAGCTTTTACATTTAGCAGCTTGTGCTCAAACTCATAGGGCTATCTATGTGAGATCCCCGTGTCCGGATGGCATTCGCTTTCACTGGTCACACGATATTTAGCTTCGGATTTCCAAAGACCGTAGCATACGTATCCTGATGTCTCTGGCCAAAATAGACAAATTAGCATCTGTTAATTGCCCCCCCAAAAAAAAAAAAAAAAAAAAAAAAACAAGAACAGAAGGACGACCTCTACTGGTCTTTTAAGTAACACGCAGCTGATGGAAAAGTGCTTTGTTATTTGGGAAGCGTTTTTATTTTTAGTCAAGCTTTATTCTTGTAAAATGTTGACCTCAACCGGCTCTTTGACACGTGCACGACGCAAGGATAAGCGATTGTTTGTGGACTACAATGCTGATACTAATTCATGGCCACTAGATGGCGATCAAGACTAAATGTACATGGAAGGTTGAAGTTTTATGTGACAATCACAGCAAAATCACAAACTGCCTTCTTTTGTGGATCAACATACACTCTACAGTCTATACTTTTTCTTAGTAAAGCAATAATATATAACTTGAGTTTGTGTGTGTATTTACTATCTTAGTTATTTTTTTATTTTAAACACTGAAGATTAGATGTGCAAATCATGTGTGGGTCAACCAAAAAGTATGTTATAAACTACTGTAGATTTCCTTTTAAGATATACCAAGTATAAAAGAAACCAAGTCTGAAATGTTTGCATCAACAGATTTTTTTTTTAATTCAAAGTGGATTTTAACAATAATACACCATAAAGTCTTATTTTGACACTCACCAAAAGAGTCACCTGGAAAACCCGCTTAATGTGACAAAGTAGAGAAGGCTTGGTCACACCTAAATCACTGAGAACTAGAGGAAACACTATGCAAACTGTAGACATCACATCCATTGAGTTAGTTTTCCCAGTCGTCATACTGTAAATATTGCACAGTGCAATTGCTACATGGCAAACTAGTGTAGCACAAAATAAAAGCTAATGGAACAAAACAAAAAGCCACAAAAATCTACATTTAAACAGTAACAGTTTAGAGTTTATAATCAAGTCTATTTGAGAGCAATCTTAAATGATTCTATAACTTGCAGTATGAGTTAACTCTGAATTGAACACAAATCAGCAGAAAATAACGCAATTTAACTAAATGAACACAGTAGCATTTTACAAATACAGGCCCTGAATTAACATTTGTACACAAAACATAAATGTCCATAAAAGAAAAAAAAAAAGTTTTATCTGTTAAATGTTATGTCATGTAAAGTGTCCATTAGTCAAGAAAGGTTCTGTCCACTTTGCGCTAAACATCTGGGAGAGAAACAACAAAAGGTCTCAAAACATCTCAGCACAGTTCTTATTTGAAGAAGAGGACATCGTCAGCACTTGTCAATTATTCCCCTTAATGAGAGATGAAAACAAAGGGCCTTTTGAAACCTGTTGCTGTTTTCAAACTTTCCTGGTTGACGTTGGAAGGACAGATATATTTGGGAGAGGTTATGCAGATGTGTTGCTGGTGAATAACTGGAGAAACACTGGGAAAGCATGTCACACCCTTATTCAATTCATTCGTTGACTAAACTTTTTTCTTCAGTATGTTCAGTAGATCCATGCAGTTAACAAATGCAGTTAAAAAACAATATCCATATGAGCGAAATATTGCACTTCAATCAACTCCTATAATTTTATTTTTAATCTGTTACTTTCAGTGCTGGGTGTTGAAATGCAATGGAACAAAAAAACGTGGCAAGCATGTTAAATGAAATAATCGATTCTTTAAGAACACTTGGTGGTGCAATGACGGCACAAAAGTATTGCATCTGTTTAGCCAAAGAGACTTTCAAAGATTGAGTGCCATATCATTCAAGTGTAAATGTGTTCGGAGGTTTCGGTGGCAGCTATTTTTAGATTAATACTTCAGTGTTGACACACTAGTAACAGGAGTCATCTTTACATGTTCAATCATTTTTCACCTACTTTAATGTGGCTGTAAAATGCAAATCTGTTTTGACCATAATTATGTAATGGTTGTAAATTCTCATTTTCTTATTCTGAAGGCACAAACGCAGTGCTGCTCACACTGTCCATTTCTGAACGTAGCATGTTACAGTGGCCACAATTCTTGCATTTGATATGAAACACTCATAAAGGGGAGAGCAATAGGAAAACAAGGCAGTTTAACAACAGAGAACAAAAGTAGCATAACATTAAACAGATAAAAAGATTTGCAAGAATCTATTTAACGGTCAAATCAGTATTAAATGACTGGTTAATCATTTCATCTCTTAGGCAATACAAGGTGCTTGCCTGTTTGTATGAAATCTTTGAGTATATCGTTTGTGAGAGGAAAACAATATTAATTCTCCTTGTCCAAAGGGAGATTTTCTGGCATGTCACAGCACTCAGGTACCATATACAAAAAGAGCACAGACTTGAAACAAAAAGGAAAAAAAAGTTAAATCAATCCTGCAAGCTATAGCTTTAGATGTCTACAAAACCCCATTATGAAAACGTACAAAAATTAAGTTACATCAATACATTTGATATGCAGTGATGAGCCCAAAAGGTTAATAAGGATAAAATACTGATGCAAAAACACAGACCCCAAGAAACAACAAACGCAACAGAAGTTCATCATCAGTAATACAGTAGTTACAATGACATTCCAAATAAGAACACGAAACAGAAAAATCAATCACTTAATAATTAGGGACCTATACAAAAATAGCGACGCCAGGTTTAAACTCAGAAATCACCTAATTTCACAGCTATTGAAGTGGCAATTATCATATAGCAGCTTATCTATGATACATTCAAGAAAGAAATGATACGACGTATTAATTGCCCAATAAGCTAGACAAAACCTCTTAATTTCTAAATTAAGTTTTTGTTGTTTTTTATATAACCCCATTTCATGACTACAGTAGAACTGAGGCCGATGCAAACAGAGTAGCTACCTTGCTTTAGGAAATGAAATACAGTCTTTGGTGCTGCACAAGCAACTTCATTTGAAAATAAAGACGACACAATTACACACAAAACTAGCCAACTGAACAGAAAATGCACAAATACATATATTTATAATGGGTGTAACCAACATAAATACATGTGTATATATATCCTCCCTGACGGAATGTAGAAAATAAGCCGTCGACACCAATACGTTTTAAGCATTTAAAAGATATTATCATGTAAAGGGAAAGTTACCTTTGTCACACATGCATAAATGAGAATTGCACACCATTAACTCACACTTTGTCAAGCATCTGTACTTAATAGCCTAGCTCTATAATATATGTTCATATATGTGTCTATATGAAATACTGCATGGTTTGCTCAGGCTTAGAAGATTCCATACGGTGAATTCATTTGCATGTTTCCTTACCTAATCAAAGCCATGCCCACCACACTTCTAAACACCTAAAAACAATGTGAACACATTTAGAACAGAAATATGACGACAAAAAATGAACTAAATTAGATTGTATTGCAGTTTCATCAAACAGTACAAATACTGTTAGTAATAAGAGTTCCACTAAATATAAAGTGATTATCAAATATTAATCAATACTCAGTACTTGCACTTGTACACTAGTTCATTCAGGATGGATCCTAAAACAATTCTAATGAAGGAGCAAGCATTTGCAACAGCAAATCATGCTGTTCTTCTTGAGGAAACAAAGTAATTCACTACACAAGAAAATACACCAACTCCAAACATCAAGTATCGCTATGAGCGATACCTCACATCCATGCAAACTATGCATGGACATATACACAGGTGCATATATATACTCACACATAGGATGCATTGAGTGATTGGAATTTCAAGTGCTGCAGTCCAGTACATTAATATTCATGTTATAGTCATATATAAGTAGTAACATTAACAACCTCAAATATGTAAGGCACTATGGCTGGGGACAGATATACAATGCAGCGAGTCTTGGAACACAATTAGAGCAATGTCTATGCATCTTCCTGTTTACATTTTTGCTCATGCAAGACCACATGCAGCGTGAGGATTAACCCTATTTAAATTGGTTAACTGACTTGACATTGCTAACACCAAAAGACACCAAGAAAGTACAAATACTTTGAAAGCAGTACAACATACACCGTGGACAACATGTGCATTTGTCAACCTAGAGCTAGAGACTGGGATGGCTTTACAAATATGGATGTGTCTTGCACACATAAGAAGGCATTATAGAAAAATAGCTGGGATCAGGGGTGCAAAGTCTAACTATTTCACACCACCCCAATTATTTACCTGTTTTGAAGAGTATTCATATAAGATCCAATGCAAAGGTATATCAAATGTGCAAAACACATTAAGTGTGAGTTTTAATATTCATTCTTTCACTTAGTCATTCATTCGTTATTTCCTTCAGATTTTTTTTTATCATCCACCAGTGAAACTCATGTTTTAAAGCTTGAAGTTCAATACAACCAAGTCTACATGATTCAAAAAATAGCTTGCTATCTTTGTGGTTGTGCCATGGTTTTGTCAGGAAAACCATGTTCTTGTGGTTTATGGGTTGAGATATGCTCAGCTTGTGTAGCCCTATTGTGGTATGAAGGATAATGCAGAGCTCAGATGTAGGGGTACTGGTTTATTTTTGTGGGGCTCAGGGGGAAACTGGCGTAAGCAGGTGAGGCGATATAGGAGTGAGGGGGGAAGAGAGGCTTGAACTGGCCCGGTTGGTGCAAAGTGGGCGATGGCAGCAGCCGGGGGTTTAGTCCCACTGTCACCTGATGGACAATGCCTGCGGGGTGGGAGAGGCCATATGTGGGCTGGAGCACCGGTCGTGAGGCCCCAGGAGAGGCCAGTAAGTGTGCTACTGGTGCAGCTGTAACCAGAGGACCAGACGCAGGGTAGGGCAGGAGTGCGGGCTGGGAGTGAGGGTGAGCGCCAATGTGGGGATGGGGACCAGAGGTGTGGCTGGGGCTGCTGTGGGACAGGGTGAAGGTATGCCCATGTATGGTGGGAGGAATAAAGGCCTGCGGTCTCCGATGAGGAAAGTTGCCATTCCATTCTTGACATGAGCCAAAATGTTGAACCTGCAGAAAGGAAAATAATATGAATTTTAGCCACTAGATGGTAGTGGTTTCCATATGTAGTGTTTAAACTGTGTGCTAAATAATAATACAATTAAGTGAAACGTAGATTACTTATTAGCAACATGTTCATCTGTTGTATCAATTTGTATTTCATATGATTTTTTGCTGTAAAATAATGTATGTGCCAAGACAAAAATTGGTAAGTTTCTAAGTGTAAGTGTAACAATGAAAACCAGTTTTGACATGCTATTTGTGCCCACCTGTCCAAAGCCAATGGGCTGCTGTTGTTGGGTCTGGAATGCGGGGGTTATTTTCTGTGGCCGGTTGAGAAGAGGCGTGGAGTGGTGATGTTGTCGCACTGGAATGCCTCGCCCTTTGGACTGGGATGATGACTCTAAGATTATTACCAAGACCATGTCATGGGAGAGACCAAATAAAAACATGTTAGTGTATGTCTAAGGTAAACTCTTAAAAAAGGCATCTAGAAGCCCACAACAACAGCTAACTTTTACGGTTATATTTGTGCACTAGACATATGGTGCCCAAGGGGGGGCTTGCGGGTCAAACTATAAATTTGATCTGCCATGGGCTGCTGAGATTTATAAGAGATATCCATTTGAATGCAGTTGTGCATTGAGAAGGAAAGAAGAAAATGTGCATCGTTTTTGCACAGTAACTTTTTACATACAAACAATCATGTTTGGCTCTTGGTCTGCTAATACGCTTTTGTCCTGATAAAGTTTCGGCACCTCAGCACAAGACTTTGTAAGCATGCCTGAGTTGTTTGGGGTTTGCAGCATTTAAATATAGCACCATGTGTCCTTCCAATCTGATACCAGCCATTATAAATAGACATGAATGATGGGATAAATGTGAACTATTCCCAAGTCATGACAAAGATTTTCTTGAGATTTGACCTGGAGTTGAACACTGTATTAAAAACTAGGGATGGTCCCATGTGTTGTTTATTTCAAACAATACCAATGTTTTTACATTTGTCTTAATCCTGTGGCAGCTAGACAAAATGATTAGCATACAGATATCCAAATTTAATCTATAGTCCACAAACTGATGTTATGTTATAATATAAATATAAATATAAATATAAATATAAAAAATATAGGATAAACTGGGATTGACACAGACACACAAAGACTGGTACAGCTTAGAAAACATATTGGTGCTAAATATCACATCAGATAACATATCGCCATATTGGACTAATGTCATTATCTGTGACGCCCTCTAATATCACCAATAGAATTGATGATATAATTTTATGATGCATAGGCCTATCACAATAACACATTTTAAAGTGCTATATATATATTGCTGAAAAAATATAGATGATAAACAATAATACTGAAACTAATTTTTGCCCCAGGCACAATAACCCTAAAGCTGTATTACTCCCCAAAAAATAATCTAAATGTATTATTGTAAAGTATATTTAGAATGACACTTATTTAGCTTGTACCTATGATCATAGAAGTAACAGTCATAGGAGTTACTTGTTCGCCCATCAGCTGCAATAAGTAATAAAATCTAATCTCCACTAACAAAGAAAATACAAAAGGGTCAGTCCATATGAAATCAGCTGTCCTCCCCTATGAGTCATCTCAGATTTGGCTGAAAATTTTTCCAAAAATTTCTAAAATCACCAAATGAAAGAATCTCAAATTTTAGCTCAATCCCTTGAGTCGTTCCTGAGTTATGTCCCATTGAAATTTTGGGGCCATGCTCACTTTTTCTGAAGCCTTAATTTATAAGCACGCTTGAGAGACCATAACTTCATAAAAAATAGAGCTAGGAGGCTTGTATTATTTTAGATTCTTGTCCATAGATTCTGAATCTGTTGTCAAAGGTTCAATTACCTTTAATAGCCTTACACACTTGTTATAAGGGAAGACAATTGGAGATTATTTGTGGTACATTGTTTGTGATGGTTTTGTTGGCACAGTAAAAGGCTCGGCTGCAAGGGCCAGTCTTCAGACAACTGACAGCAATCAAATATTGACCGCACTCCAGATGTTTGAGTGGGCTTCACAAAACATAAAGATTGAAGTTTTTTCTAAATACATTACAAACCATGAACTTACTTCCAAACTAGAAGACCGCTACAGCAAGGCAAAGACTGAATGGTACTAGCTCACACCACAGCTTCATTCTGGTGTCAAATGGTAAATTAGAAATGAGAATATATCAAGATCATTTATATACTGAAGTTTCAGTATCTGAAATGCAATATGAGATTGTGCCAGATAGCTCTCTATACCGGCCAGGTCAATACAGTGCATGTGTTTATGACATCAGGTGGTTCATCGGAAATATTTCAGAGCGTTCAGATGAACATGGTGATGTCTATGTGAGATTTATGAATGGAGACAACAGAACCCTCATCTTCTCTTATCCCTCATACTCTGGAACCAGAAATTCAGGGAAGAAGAGCACAAAATTATCACCTTGACACTGCAGATTATGACAGGATCCAAACATTACTTCTGAAGTTCAATAGTAGTTAGGAACACTTAGTGTGCAAAATACCAATACAGATGATCTACCCGTATGTGACAAAAAGGCACCAAAATGGTCATATTTGTCCAGTATGTTGGACAATTTTTTAAAATGTAATTCCTAGCCGTTGAACAAATAACAGACCAGGTTACTGTATTTTGGTAACTTTTGTGTCAGAATCAAATTTTTTCTTGTTAATGTTACTGCCTTCTTGTAATAATTTTGTGCAAAAATAATATACATATGGTGGGACTGAAAGCCATGGTTATAGAGAGAGAGACACAGAGACTTTGTGATTTAACAGGCAATGAGTATTCCAATTGTAATTTGCCTTTGATCAGTTTCCATGAATACTATCTTAACTTTTGTTGCTTTACTTATACATCATGAAAAGCTGTTTCTTTATGAGACAACAAATTATCTTCCTTAAATAAAAATAGAAAAAAATAATGCAAACTAACTTTTTTTTCATAATTCTGTACAGAGTCAATAGTTGAATTTTCTCAAAGGATTAATGACACTTTTCCAAGCAATATACCACAAATAATCTCCAGTTGTCTTCCCTTATAACAAGTAAACAGTGCTTAAGGCTATTAAAGGTAAATGAACCTTTCTAGCTGGTGGAAAAGTACCTAAGCTCCACCAAAAATTACCTGTGACAGCTCATTTTCAAAAATTCCATTTGAAATGAAGGAAGTTAATAGTAGATATTTTATTACTTCTAACTAATTAGAATATGCCAAAGTTTCTGGTAAAAATGTGATCAACATCTAACTATGCCCACATGGGGAACCGAGGGTCAAAAGAAGGGGCTAAAAAGATCACATTAGGTCTGTGATCATATTTGGGACTCTACACCATCCACATGAAAGCTCAGGAAAGTGTGAGGTGGCTGCCAGAAATGGTCATTCTTTCAAATATTCAAGTTCATCAGTTAGTTTGTAAATATCTATTTGGAGTAAATAGATCTTGGACCTCAAAAATTGAAAAAAAAAAAAAATTTGAGCAGCAACCAAATTTGAGATTTTGGGGGACCACAGCGCCCCCCTTAACAAAGATACTCAATATTTGACAACAGATTCAGAATCTATGACCAAGAATCTAAATAATACAACTTTTCAGCTTCCTAGCTCTATTTCTTATGAAGTTATGGTATCTCAAACATGCTTATAAATTAAGGCTTCAGAAAAAGTGAGCATGGCCCCAAAATTTCAACGGGCCATAACTCAGGAACGACTCAAGGGATTGAGCTAAAATTTGAGATTCTTTCATTTGGTGATTTTAGAAATGTTTTGTTTTTTTCAGCCAAATCTGAGATGGCTCATAGGGGAGATTCCTTGAAAAAGGCTCATTTTATACAGACTGACCCAAAAGCAATATATATTTATCCCCAAAAATATTGTCCAACTTTCATATATTGAAAGATATGTGGATATAGTAATTATCTTGGCCTAACTGTCCAAGTAGTTGAACATTAATCTGCAGTTCAACAGTACTGAAGCTACATTCAGCACACTTTAAAACACCAGAAAAACATGCAACAACCTTAAGTGTGACATGTATCATTTGTTCTCGGTTGAAATCTTACATTTCAGTAAGGGACTCATTTTATGGCAGATTATGAATCTTATATCCAATTATATTTCACTCTCACACAGAAAGAACAGAAAGAGGTAGTATAGAGCTAGTGTTGACAGCAAACAGAAATTCACACCAGAGATCTCTGCAAATATGTCAGCCAGGTCAGCCATAATCACCTGTGAGAACCTCTGTAGCCTAATACAGGATAATCCTGGGCCATGTGACCTATAGAGCAGACAGCAGTAGTGACCAGATCTTTGAGCCTACACAGTGCTCTGGGAAATTTTTGACTTTAAGTAAATTACTTATTTATATATACAAAAAAATAATAAAAGGAACACTTTGAAAAGACATCAGATCTCAAAGTGAAAGAAGTATATTGGATGTCTATACAAGTATGGACAGGGCAATGTCTTAAGAAGATAAGGATGACACCTCTTTTAATGGAAATAACATTTTCAGCCTACAGAGGGCTTAATTTTTATAGAAACGCTGAAAATCAAAATGAAAGAATGATGTGGCAGGCTAGTTCATTGTGCCAAAATGTTCTTTTTGCAACTCAAAATGCTCAGTATCTTGTGTGACCCCCACGTGTTTGTATGCACGCTTGACAACATCGTGGCATGCTCCTAATGACACAACGGATGGTGTCTTGTGGGATGTCCTCGCAGATCTGCGTAAGGGAATCACTGAGCTCCTCTAGAGTCTGAGGAGCAACTTGGCAGCATCTGATGGACTCAAACATAATGTCCCAGAAGTTTTCTATCAGGTATAATTCAGATGATTGTGATGGCCATTCAATTGTATCAATCCCTTCATCGTCCAGGTACTGTCTGCAGACTCTTCCCTCTTGAGGCCAGGCACTGTTGCGCATCAGGAGGAACCCAAGACCTGTTGACCAGTGTAGGTTCTGATAATGTTTTTTTTTGACAAATGATTTAATCCTGATACCTAATGGCAGTCAGACTGCCGTTTTCAAGCCAGTAAAAGTCTCCATGGATATGCCTCCCCAGACCATCAGTGACCCACCTCTAAACCGCTCATGCTGAACCATGGTACAGGCAGCAAAGCATTCTCCTTGTCTTCTCCAGAGTGTTTCACATCTATCACAGGTGCTCAGGGTGAACCTGCTCTCATCTGTGAAAAGCACAGGGCACCAGTGGTGGACTCTGGTGTCATCTAGCAAATGCCAATGGAGCTCCACGGTGCTGGGCTGTGAACACAGGGCCCACTACAAGACATGGCACCCTCAAGCCACCCTCATGAAGTCTGTTACTGATAGTTTGAGCAGAGACTGTAGGGCACAGCAATGCTCAACCTGTTCCTCCTTGCACAAAGGAGTAGATATTGGTCCTGCTGATGGGTTGCGGACCTTCTGCAGCCCTATCCAGCTCTCCTTGACAAACTGCTTGTCTTCTGAAATCTCCATATTCTGGAGATTGTGCTGGGAGACACATTAAACCTCCTTTGCAGCATCACATCCGAATCTGCCATCCTGGAGAAGTTGAACAATCTATGCAATTTCTGTAGGGTCAAGGAATGGTCTCATATTCTCAGTAGTGATAATCACTCCAGCCAAAGCCAGCACTAGTGGAAAACCAGCCAAAAGAGACTAAAAGAGAGAAACTTGATGTCCACATGATGTTTTAGGGATTGTCTCATTGTTGCCACTCTAGTGCACCTGATGTTCATCTCCATTAAAAGAGGTTTCATCCTTTTGTTCCTAAGACATGTCCATATTTGTATAGATATCCAACTTTTTTTCACATTGAGATCTGATGTATTTTCAAAGTGTTCCTTAAATTTTTTTGAGCAGTATATTACAGATGTGATAAATAAAATAAACAACATAAATAATGCTGTTAACTAAATACCTACCCATGTTAGAGGATGTGTTGTTGTTCTGTATTCTCATCGGCGGCACAGCAACAGTACGAATTTGTGGCTTACAGGGTTCGGTTTCTGGGGCAACACAAGCGACGCGTGGCTCACAGTTTTGGTTGGTGTCAGCAATGAAGCTCTCCTCAGGAAAGGGACTGTTTGTATGACCAGTATCAGAGGTGGGTGTGCTGTCCACTGTGTCACAACCACTCTCCTGTTCATCTTCAGACATACTACAATAAAAACAAAAGACACATTTTAGTTGATGAATATGTCTTTTTCTGGGTGCACTCTTTGCTTATTATCTTAATGTGTTTGCATCAGATGCAGGTGTAGAGCTACATGCCTGTTTGAATGTTTGCTGGGAGACACACTGGACTGGGCTGATGAACTCGTGCTGAGTGTGCTGTCGGGACTACTGAGAGAGCACACCCTCTCCATATCCACTGTACTTTGACATGCCTCACAGTCTGTGTTACCTTCACAGCTGTATTGACAAAGGAGATCAACCATTTTCAATATGCAGATTTATACAGAAGTAGCAGTCTTCTGTGAAATGAGTACTTACTCTCCCACTGAGTGCCTCTGCGTGTTGTCCTCTTCGTCGCTGCTGATGCTGATGATGCTGACCGTGGGGCTGGTCAGGTCAGACATGACCACGGCTGGTCTCTGCTCATGAGACACTGAGTGCTCTGCACAGGCTGGCTCCACGTTACAGCAGGCGTCCTCATGGTGCTCTCCCTGTGCTCCATCAGGCTTCTCTCCAGCAGGATGCCCTTCAACCACACATCTAGACTCTTCTTCCTCTACCTCTTGGACATTCTTTGCTGTATCGGCCATCTTTGGGGACTGGCATTCAATATTTTGGATGTTTGCATTTTGGGAATAGTGGCTACCTCTGTCAAATAAAAGAAAGTGTTACACTTTATTTGAACTCTGCATTAAATATACCAGAATGTATGTTTCTTACCTATTACCACAGGGCTTTGATCTTTTGTTGGCAGCAGGTTGTGGCCACACCACATGTGCTATGCCGATGTTGATTGGCTGGTGGGTGGACATTGTCATTTGGTTGGCTAAGAATGGCTGAGAGTGGGCAATCATGGAGCTGTAGTGGTTGCCATGGGGACGCACTTTTCTGATTCAAGAAAAGAGAAAACAGTGAGCCAAAAGCCTTCAGCAGGATTACAGACAAAATGGTCCCTGTCAGCGATCCCAAAGGACACAGATGACTCATCAGTCATTAATATTCTGAAGAGCAGGCACAGATTGGAGCAGCCAAGCTATGAGTGCAGAGCATATCTTATATCAGAGCAAACAAAACGCATAAATACTGTAAACAATCTAGCAGACCTTTGCTTGCATTGTGAAAGTAAAAAAGACAATAAGCAGACAATTCTAACAATGTCTAGCACAATCCATGTCTAACACAATGTCTAACACAGATAGAGTCCTGTGATGGCTTACCCCCATTCTCCCAGTCGCTGTGACCCAGCTACAGAGTCAGAGGCCAAAGAGCTTGGTGGGGGAGGTACCGATGTCACCTGCTGCCATGTGGGCACCAAGAGCTGCTGAGCACGGTTGGACCAGGCCTAAGAAAAGTGCACATACTTTAATGATCTGAGATTCAATATAATATACAGCATTAAATCCAATTTACCTGTGTAATGACACCAGGTCGGATTTGTAATGGCTGAATTGGGGGTGCCTGAGTGACAAGAGGCACAGAAGCTTCCATTCGAACAGGATAACCTGTTGGCTTAGCTGTGTTTGGGTGTATTGGGAAGAATATTTAAAAAGGGATTTTAAAAACACTGCCCTAACAAAATAATAGAAACATACGTTTATGACTTACCTTGGATGGTTGGTGGACAAAGGATAAGAGCCTGCTGAAAGGAGTCATTACAACCAAACTGTCCATTTCCTGTTTGGAGTGGAATCCCAGGATGTAAAACTGAAGGAGCAGACGGAGTCAACCCCTAAACAGAAATACAAACAAATACAAAGTTCACAGATTTGTACATATTAAATTACTAAACAGCCAGCTAAAGGCAGTGTGTTTTTATGATTTTATTTAACAAAAAGGACATGAGAAAACTCATAACAGACAAAGTGAATTATCCAAATGTACATAGTAAAACCATGTTAAATCAAATGTGCAACTGTCCAGATGCCTTATCAAATTAACAGGAAGAACTATGAATGTATCTACATGTCTTTTGTCACACCTGAAAAGGTTAAAGACAAGACATTTTATGGTTCTTGGTTCCCTATGGAGATTTGCATGGCTGTGGACCTATTCCTATATTTTAATAATAATTTTAATAGATCCATGGCCTTATCTCTTAAAATGAGCCGTAGCCACAGGGGTGTTATAGTGGCTCACATAACTTAGGTGGGAAGCTTTCAAAATGTGTTCGAGAAGGTTTTGGTCACTTAGATTCTAAAATGTGAAGTTATTCTATAACAGCTTTGCAGAGGTAGAAATGGGATTCTGCACATAAAAGCTACAAACTGATTCTAATATCTTCATTGCTATAATCAGAGATAATTTTTCTGCTCTTCTTAGCACACTGGCTTTTAGGGACATCTCTGCCAAAAAAAGGTCACCTGCTTTTTCCTCCTCAGCAACAACAATGCTTTGCTCTGTTGCCATGACCTCAGCAATATGACGTGATGTGGTTGTCATGACAGCAGAGGCAAGATGCAATAAGCCAGGCAAATCAGAATACGGGAATGCAATAAAGACCGAACTAGGTGCTCTATCTGCGCTATCAATCAGAGAGAGAGTGTGAGGCTTACTTGTGGGTGAATACCGGTCAGCTTGGGTCTCATGAAAGAACCTTTATTCCTGTTTAAGTCGTATGCACCAGGACGACTCCAGCAGATATCCATGATATGAAAACATGATTTTACACTGTGAGAAGAAAACAAGAATGTCAGCTCTTGCCAAAATATGTAACAATGACATATTACACAAATTATTAGATAACTAAACAAACTGATCACTAACTGGTTGCTATGGGGAAAGTCAAGCAGGTGTTGCATTGTTACAAAAGGGTGGGTCAGGGCTTCAGCAGGGACAATCCTTTCCTCAGCATCGATCAACAGCATCTTTTTCAGTAAGTTTACAAACTCCCGACGATCCGTCTTCTCTGCCAGCAGGTCACTACCTTCCAGATTCATCACCAAGTTCACCTGCAACAAATGTGATCATTACTCTCAAACTTGGAGCAAATTATTAAACATGATGTCTTATTAAAACTGCTCATATTCATAGCAATTCACTCTGGACAGATCTGGACTTACATGCGCTATGTCATCTAAACAACTGAAGATGTACTTTCTGGCTTCCTTTGATTTCATTCCTGTCTCAGTCTCATGCTCATCTGTAGACTACAATGACAACAAAGTTTCTGGTGAGGTCCATAAAGAAAAGGTTCAATGATTATAATGAGTGTGTACACATGTTTTACCTTCAGTCTCCATGCTGCATAAGGGGAGTCTGATTCCTTGCAAAAGAACCGCACAGTCTTTGTCCCCGTGTTTAGTAAGTGCTCCCCAGGCAAGCCTTGTGTCTGAGAGATGTAGCGAATCTGAACAAAAAGACGTACAGGTAAACACAGATGAGTAAAGGACATGAAACTGATGGCCATACACTGATAGATATGTGTACTTAATGCATCTTATCAAAATGCATGTAACAGTGGTCTCTGTATATTGATATCTGGCTTTGTTCCATGGGACTTAAAGACATAGATATTATAATATTTAAGAAAAGGGAATTCAGTGAAAAAAAAACGTGATGTCAATCCCACCACAGTGCAAAGAAAACCACTATTAGACTTAGCACAGTACACAAGGGTGAAGTACAATCCTGTGACTTTTGAACACAAAGCACATTTTGGCAGAGCAATTACAAGAGAGGGGCGGGGAAAGCATTTCTAGAATAAGTATAAAGTTTATCTTTGATGTGTTTAGAATCTGAGTGCAACTAAACAGCATGCTAAAATATGTGTAGATGCGAGTGGATACAGTTTATGCCACTGGGAAATCCCTGATTTTCTTGGAAGGACTGGCTCAACTGAAATGTGACTAAACAGTTAACTGGTGGCATGCCTCTGCCTGAAGCATAGAGTGCTTTAGGACAGTGAAACATGACCACCACAGACTGTAGAAATATCACTTCAGTTTTTGTTTTACATTTGTATAACTGTTTAGGTAACATTGAAGTCTTAGTCTTTTACCAAAAAATCTAGCTGGTTTTAAATACATTTAAATCAAATTATACGGTAGTAATTCACAGCAGCTATAATCAAGCACTTACACTCTTTGTTGGAAAAAAGCACTAATGTTTGAACAGCTGAAGTTGATAGATAAAAAAGTGTCTAAGTAAATGTAAAAGGAGCAATATTAGTC